ATTCCATGTTTTTGTCCAGCATGATTTCACCTGCAGACCTATAGCCAATAACAGTGCCTCCTGCAAGTCCAGCAGGAGTCCTAGAGCCCATGACCATGTCTCATGCAGGCCTGTTTCATGGATCTACACTGGGAAGACTCCAAGGTCAGTGGTGAAATCTAGAAAGGCTGTGCCAGTGGGATGAGGAAGCTGTGCCAGCACTTTGGGGATCTGCACAAGAGCCAGGAATCAATGCTCAAAATAAGAAGCAGAGCTCCCCCTCAAATGACCAGAGCCATCCTCAGGAACAGTGAGGACCGAAGTTCCTCTGATGATGAAGAAAGCCTAGTTGCATTCAGGAAAGCCAACACAACAAGCATCTCCAGGAGGCAGAGCAATGCACCATCTTCCCCTCCCCAGCCAGGAGGTGATGCTCAGAGTGAGGACCAGAGCTCTCCCAAAGTGAACTGAAGCCATTCTCAGTGACAACAGATTCAGAGCTCCTTGGAGGATGAAAACAGCCATGATCATCAGAAAAGCCAGCATGACATGCTCCTCAAGTGAACCAGCAGTTCCTAATAGCTTCTTTCAGCTTCCAACAGGCTCTCAATAGCTTCTACCTGTTCCCAACACCCTCACGTCTTCTTCTCCAGTTCTGCCTCTTATGATGCTGGCAACAATCTTCAGGTGGGCCTTGAGACCCAGCACTGCACTTATTGAGTTCAGCTGAGTGTAAGAAATTACCCACAATTTCTCAATCCACCACAGCTACTGTTAAGATAAAAATGATGGACTTAGGGGCTGGGGATTTAGCTCAGCGGCAAAAGTGCCTGCCTGGCAAGCGCAAGGTCATGAGTTCGGTTCCTTGTACCGGAGAAAAACCAAAAAAAAAAAAAAAAATGATTGACTTGCCTAAAACTTAGTGTCATAGTGCAGGCCTACCCTTACAAGGCTTAGGGGGCTGAAACAAGAGGATCTCCATAAGTGTCTTTATTACTTTTCTTGTTACTGGGGCCAAATACCCAACACTCGAAGTTAAAGAGGGAAAGTGTTATTTCTCTCACACTTTGCACAGGTTTCAGTCCATAATCTGTGGACTCCAAGGTAGAGAGGCTTTGCAGAGGAGAGCAATTTCTTGCAGGTAAAATCCAGCAACAGGAACAAGGCACAGGAGTGAGGGGACAAGCCACTGTCTGTTCCTTTTTTTTTGTATGCAAGTAACATGAGTGAAGGAGGGTGTGGCCCTCATCCCCTTAGTCCAGCACAGGACCATGAATCAGTCACAAGCTCTAGATTCAGCCACCTCTGAAAAGCCCTGAATACAATGACATGAGGCTTTGGGGGGACATCTGAACACAAACCATAACAACGAGTTAAAGCCAGGCTGAACTACGAAGAAAGATCATTTCTCAGAACAAATAAACCAATAGGCATAACATCTCATAGCCAGCTTGATGGTGAATGCCCCAAATCTCAGGGAATTGGGAAGCTGAGGCCCTCGTATTCCAAGTTCAAGTGGAGCCAGGCCCAATCAGTAAGATGCTACTACAAAATAGAAAGGTAAGCAAACCTGAAGATGTCGGTCAGTGATGGAGTGTCCTAGGTTTGATCTGCTGTAATGTGCAAACATGTAAACAAACAAAAAGCCTTTCATGCAAATTCTTTTGGAGACAGAGTCTGCTTTTGATGTTCAGGCGGGCCTTCAAGTCACTATGTAGCTCAGGCTGATGTGGAACTCATGGCAATCCAACACCCTCAGCCTCCCACGTGCTGGGATAACAGGCTGTGCCAGCACCTCCAGCTTCTCTGCAGGCAAGTTCAGTGTCAAGTGCATGGGAAGGATCTGTTCACTGAGTCTGCTTGCGTCACACACGCCACTTCTTTAACATCCCGGAAGACAAATGTTATGAATTGGGACACATCCTGTTGTATTTGCGTTATGTACACAGCACGTGCAATACACTGCAGAGACACAGAGCCCGTGGTCCACCTCCCTCATGATCAACACACTCCATGTGCTCTTGAGAAGGGGCGAGGGCAGGGACACAGTGCACTAATAGGACACAGATTACCTTGCAACCACCATCTGATCAGGATTCTGCAAAAAAGTGGGGCTCTGGCATCCAGCAGGGCGGCAAATGGAGAACAAGACTGGTTCTGCCTCTAGAGCAGTGAAGATTCCAACCTCTGGGACAAGCCTGGCCCGTGCTGCTAAGTTAGGCTGGGTGAGAGAAATGTTCATGAGCCGAATTTTATTTTCCCTAGCAGTTTTCAAAGTTACTGTTTAGAAATGCTGTATGTCTGGGAGTGCTGGTGCAGGCCTGTTTCCCAGCACTGGGGAGGCTGAGCCAGGAGGATTTTGGAGATTTTGAATGAAAAATGAAAGAAGGAAAGAAGGATGGAAGGAAGGAAAGAAGGAAGGAAGCAAAGAAGGAAGGAAGGAAGGAAGAAAGAAAGGAAAGATAGAAAAAAGAGGAAAGGAAACAAACCGAAATGAAGAAAGAAGTCCAAAGAAACAAATAAACTGAAAGAAATTTTTTGTCTTTGTTTTGGTGTTTTCTCTTTAAAATAAAAATAAATAAAAAGAGAACAATGCTGATTCAGGGTGAAAATTAGTGTAGTCGTTTATATGAATGCAAAAGATATAAATTCCTTTCTCTTAAATAAGAGAGAAATCTGAGCACTCTGGCTCTCTCCGGTAGTGCAAGCTCCGTGATAACGTAAGGAAGAAGTCCACTTTCCTGTCCAGCCTGAAGAACTCCACCAGTTCCTGTCTCAAAACAAACATTTAGCTGGATGTGATGGCTCACACCAGGACTATATCAGCACTCTGTAAGCTGAATCAGGATGATTACACTTTGAGTAAAATTCAGGAATAAGCAAAACTCTCTCTGAAAATAAAAACATAAAGTTGTAAGACACTCCGTATTAGACCATTAAAGGGGTCTATTCAAGCAATGAAAAATAAGGAATTGTGGGAAGGAAGGAAGGAGAGAGGGAGGGAGGTAGAAAGGAAGGAAGAAAAGAAGAATGGAAGGAAAGAAGGATGGAAAAGATGAGTGGAAGGATGGATGAAGAAAGACTCTATACCTGAATCCCATCCACATATCCCATCCCAGGTCGATCCACGCTGCTGCCACAGGTGCCGCCTGAAACACAGCCCTTCCTGCATTGGGCTCCTGTATAGAGAATTTGTTGTTCCTCAGAAGAACTCTTCTTTCCATCACTTGTAGGGAGCTGGCGTCTGAGCACATGGAATCCCTACCATTTCTCTGTGTCACAGCTCTGCTGGGGGATTCTCCCCCACCACCCGCCATTTTACTCTTTTCACCAATAGAGATTGAAGCAGGTACATTTGCATAGGCTCACATTACAGGCTTTTTTTCATTTCTGATTTTGAGACATGATCTTTCCAACTGAGTGGCAGTCCCGGTTGTTCAGGCCTGAAATCACAGCACTCCAGAGACTGAGGCGGGAGGAATACCAGGATTAACTGGGTGGAGAGGGTGGGAACCAATCAGCCACCTGAGTGTGCTGGGAAGGGAGGAGCAGGGAGGGTAGGGTGTAGCTAACCAGGGGGATAAAAGAGGAGAGAGTCTGAGGGACAGGTGCTCAGTCCTGGAGCGTCCAGTCTCTGCTGGTCTTGCTGGGATTCCTGGAGGCCCGTCGTCCTCACCTGAATCTGCAGCTGGTGAGTCCTTGGGCTCCATGAGGATGCCCCACCTGCCCAACCTCAGTTAGTGTCCTGGGTGCACAGAGGTTCCAGATGGCAGTTATGATCCTGTGACTTCTGTCTCTACAGATAGACAGGCTTGGGGTTTTGTGGTTATCATTTTTTTGATCCAAGGTCTTGCTATGTTGCCCAGCTGGATTTCAACTCAGTACATAATTCAGGCTGGCCTTGAGCTCTTAAGTAGACCAAAATATCCTCAAATTCAGTGGGACTCACACTCCCTATTACTGGGATTTCAGGGAGGTGGCACCCAGCTTGCCTTTCATTCAAGCCTTGAAGATCATCCTCACTGGAGGTGATCCCTCTCCTCCCTAAATGGACGCATGATATAGCCAGAAGCACTGAATAACATTCTCTCAGTGGCTATTTGCAAATGTCCCATGAGAAACAATTGCAGAGGACATTTGGAGTTTCCACAAAATTGACAGAGTTTCTGTCAACAAATAATTTAGGCTCTAAAGAATAATTTGAGGGGCTGGAAATTTAGCTTAGCAGCATAGCACTTGCCTGGCAAGGGTGAAGTTGTGAGACTGATTGCTGGTACTGGAAAAAAAATTAAAGTAAACTTTGGGAAGGCCACAGGTCCTAAACTCTAAACTACAACTTCTTGAGGTTATTGTATTTCATCCAACAAGGGGCTTCACAGCCCAAGAAATTCCCCTGCCAGCTGCTCACCACACTGAGTGTTCATCCCATGGAGTATATGTTTTCATTGCCAGGTGAGGGACAAGCCAGGGAACCAAAGGGAGAGGGACACACTTCAGACTTGTTCAGCTCCTGTCAGGTCTTCTTTAAGAGGAGATTTGGGTCTACTATTACTTGAAATGAAGATTCATTGCTTAAAATTTCTCAGTTGGGTGTATTGTGAGACAAAATAACTTACGGACTGGGCCATAGGACTTTCCATTTTCCTGTCTATTTCCTTGAGATGACGATCAGAATATTTTCTAAACCTGGTGGGAGTCAGTTTCAGATTCCTTGGCTCCCATTTTACGGAGGGTTCACCGTCTAGATGCTATGGTAGGAAATTGCATTTTGTTCTCATCCTGCCTCATCCGGGAGACATCAGACATTCTTCCAGGGCTCACTACAGCTGAAGGAAGGCTCTGGGACCAGAAGCAAAAACAGATGTCAAACGGACTAAGGACAGTGCCGCCCTTGTCAGCCCACAAAATTTTGGCTGCAGGTTGGCTTCCTGACAGGTGAGAAGGGGTTTCTCAGCTTGCCTGAAAAGACGTCTCTCTCCTCAGTGTTTCCTCAGCACCCCTGTCCTTCCACATTCATCAAGATGAGCACCCAGTCCGCAAACCTACTGAGGAACCTGGCAATTCAGAGCTTGCTGAGGGACAAGACCTTGACCATGGAGGCCCTGGAGGAATTGCCAGGGGAGGTCTTCCCAGCACTGTTCATGGAGGCCTTCACCATGGGGCACGCTGAGGTCCTCAAGGCCATGGTGCTGTCCTGGCCCTTTCCCTGCCTGCCCCTGGGAGGCCTGATAAGCCTAAGGAATGCAGAGACTTTGGACTCTCAGGAGGATGATGCCCAGATGCTGGAAAGGATGTTCCTCACTATTATGGATGGCCTTGATGTGCTGCTGAGGCAGAAGGTTCGCTCCAGGTGAGTGGATCGAAGGTATCCTGCAGGGAGGGCCCTGGATTCCAGGAAGGACAGAAAGTGCTGGGGATAGTGGGGGCCTAAGTGTGAAGCAGTGGCTTCTGAGTGTTCCTGGGAGTGGTCCAGGAAGGTTATTGCATTGTTGGCCTACCTGGGCAGGCACTGCCACTTGGGGTCCTGAGCTGACTGTGGAGGCCACTGTGAAATGAAAGGAGGAAGAAGTTCCTGACTTGTCCCACAGTCACGTGAAGTCGGGACTGGGCTGGACCCAAGGGGAATGGGAGAAGCAGAGGACTAGAGTGTAGAAAGAGTAGAGGAGATAGCCATGGACCTCAGAGATGAGGAAGGCACAGGAGGAAACTGAGTCCCGGCCTAAATTCTCCCATCCATTTCTCCTTCACCCACAGGAAGCTGAAACTACAAGTGCTAGATATGCGGGTCAAGCACCAGAATTTCTGGAGAGTGTGGGCTCGAAATGAGTTGCAAGTTTGCTCTGAAGAAGCTGAGAAGAAGAAAACAGAGGAGCCTGGTTCTAGGGGAACAAAAAAACAGCCCTTCAAGGTCATTTTAGATCTCTGGCTCAGTCAGGGATTTCTGTGTGTAGTGGAAGCCTTCCTCATCAACTGGGCCCTGGAAAGGGAAGATGTGGTACAGCTGGACTGTAAGAATCTGCGTATAACAAATGCATGCTTTCCTACCGCCAAAGACTTCCTGGAATTGCTGACCCTTGATTCTGTGCAGGAGGTCCTTGTGGGTCAGGGCTGGACACTCTTTACCTTGGCTCAATTTGCCCCTTTCCTGGGCCAGATGCAAAATCTTCACAGACTCATTCTCTGTGATATCTCTCTGCCGGCCATCCATTCAGCAGGGAAAAGAGAGCAGTTATTCACACAAATCGCCTCTCAGTTTAGGAACCTTCGCTGTCTGCAACAGATTTATGTGGACTCTGTGAACTTGCTAGAAGACCGCTTGGATCGGGTACTCAGGTAAGATGTGGAGCTCTCTCTGCATTCACAAGAGCCTTTCTCTCTTTGTCGTAGAAAGATTAGTGACCATGGACAGTGTGCACCCAAAAGATGTGACAAGATCAATCATTAGACAATCAACACACTGTCTTTTTCACTCCTAAGGCCTACAACGTGGTGTCCCTTAGCCTCTCTACTGGTACAGCCAGACAGGGCAGGGCCACCATGCTTAGTTGCAGGAGGAGGGGTGAAACTGAGGGAGGGCAGGTGTGTGACTTTTTCCTCAGGAATCTTTCCCAGGGGAAGGTGCTGAGAAACACCAAGCCCTCTCTGATCCCTCAGCAGTCCTCATGAGAATCTTCTGCATCAGGACAGCCTGGTGAAGAGATGGAGGTGCAGGGGTCTGAGGCTGAGGGCAAGGAGCACAGGTGCAGGTCGGGGAACAGGGACATGGAGTGCTGGCAACCTCTTGTGGGAGCCCAGTAGCTGTGCCCACATCTTGCCTAATGCTTGCTCCCTGCCTGGCTCCTGCTGTGCTCATCCAGAGAGAGGTGTGGTTTCTGCTTGGGAGTGAGTAATGGGGACTGGCCACATCCAGGATTCACCCCAGTGGTGATGGGAAATAAGCGCCCAGACTAGGCTGACTCATGGGACACGTGGTACACTGTCTTGTTGTTCCCACCATCCCCTACTTTTCCCCACCAAATGCACATCTAACTGCTTGGTCTCTCTGCAGGTGCCTCCCGACCCCGCTGGAGACTCTCTCATTAACTCACTGCCAGCTCTCACACTCTGACTGGATCCAGCTGCCCCAGGCTGAGCAGACCAGACACCTGGAAGTCTTGGTTCTGAGTTGTATCCCAATGACTGACTTTAGCCCTGAGCCCCTCCAAATACTCCTCAAGAATGTTGCAGCCACCCTGACCACCCTGCACTTGGAAAATTGTGGCATCACAGATGCGCAGGTCTGTGCCTTTCTACCTTCCCTGAGCTGCTGCTCCCAGCTAACTGCCTTCTGCTTCGCGAGGAATTTCGTGTCCACAGACACCATGAGGAAGCTGCTCTGCCACACCGCCAGGCTGAGCAACTTAATCCTGGAGGTGTACTCAGCTCCTCCAGACCTTTGCTTTGCTAGCCATGGGGTTGACCCCCATCTACGAAACCAGGAACTTGAAGACCTTAGGAGGATCCTGAAGCCCATAAACCATCCCAGGACAGTCTACTTCTGTACTTTTCACTGTGAACGCTGCTGCCACTGGAAAGTCTACAACATGCACCCTCCACCATGCCCAGACTGCATCCCCATCTAGTTGAATGCACAGATCATTCATTTCCTTCCTGGGCCCAGGAACACAGAGAATTGGTCAGTGTGAGTGAGAGAAGCACAGGTGGGCCAGCAGGCAGCAACCTTGGAGAATCACCGACTTGAGAAGAGAAGTCACCTTTGCGGACTTAGGACATAGACACAAGCAGATCTAGGAATTTGACTGGTTCGATGTCAAACCAGCTTGAGATGAATGTGTGCATGAATGTAAACAATGATCAGAAATAAAGAGATTGTCATGTGAAGCATCTGGTTTCCTCCATGTTCATTGTCCCTGTTTCCACCTCAGAGCTCACGAATCTGCAGTCCGTGGGGAGAAAAGACCCTGCGTTGTCTGGTCAATGTGGTTTGGCCTCAGGGACTCACAGCAGCCAATAGAGATACTCAATGTTGTTCATCCCCTCCCATCTTTGATTTTCTCCAGTCACATGTTCCCTCCATGCTTCCTGGTATTTCTCCCCCTTCCTAAAATACGCTTCTCACTGGTACTCATCGTACAGCCTGCCCACTGAGCTGCATTCACAGAAAGTTTGTTTTGAAACAGAGTCCGTCTAAATGACTACACTGCATTTGCACTGCTAGTCCTCTGCCCTCAGGTTCCATAGTGCCCTCATAACCGTCTTGGTCCTCTCTGCCCTGCTTTTCCCCTGTCCCTCCTGTGCCTCTTTTGGATTCACCTAAGCTTGCCCACACAAAATGCATTGCAGGGAGGTACTCTTGCTTGTAGGGTTCCTTTGGGAACAGCGGGAGCTGTGACCAGGGCCATGCCTGCTGTGGGAGCCACCGGTGAACCCCGGGTGTGAGAAACAAATGGGAAGCTGCCCGGGAAAGTGTGACCATGTTAGTGGCAGTGACAGCAAACCTTTTGGTGGCAGAGTCCTGGGCCACAAAGGCCATGCTGATGTGTGAAGCAGGCTAAGAGTACTGGGAGGAAGTCATTTCCTGGAACCCTTCATGTGAACCTGAGGGCAAAATCCATAACACTGCTCATTAGTGGATTTAGGAGACTTGGTTTTTGGTCCTTGGCTGTGCTGACAAAGTGCTTTACTGCCCAGGGGAAGGGCACTCCCCTGGGGCTGCAGTGACACCACAGTGCATGCACACAAAGCACAATAAACCAAGGAACAGAGATACAGCTTGGAGCAAAGGCTGACTGCTCGACCACCAGGGCCACAGAACACAGGAAAAATCAGCACAAACTGTCACTAGGCCTTTTCCACCTAGCTTACCTCAGTTCCTCAACTGCTTCTTTCTGAACCTGCGGTTTCCTCAGCCTCGTATTCATCTCTTGCAAACTGAAGCCATGGCCACTGCCTGTGGGTCCATCCTGCCTGGATAATGTCTGCTGTGGGCAGAACCGTGACACTAAAGGCAAATGCCTTGGGTCAGATCCACTAGCTTGATGGGGTCTTGGGGTTGTAGCCTTGTTTCCTCTTCTCCAATCTCCCCAAGGAGACTTGGAAATGTGTCTCCCCCTCGCCTGCCAATAGGAGTTGCTCTCTCAAATCTGCAGCAGCTCCTCTCTGAGATTTCACCTTCTCAAGACAGTTCACTCTGCTAAGTATTGGAAAAACCCTTTACCAAAGGCTAAGTGTCCCTCCCTGTCCTCAGGGATTGTAGGGGATCATAAGTGTCACAACGGAATTAGATGTTGTCCCTCATGCCTATAATATCAACAAGTTTTGAAGCTGAGACAGCATGGTCATCATGTGCTGTTTTTATTTGTTTGTTTCTTAAGACAGGGTCTAGCTGTGTATATCCTGCTGGACTTGGACTCAATGTGTAGCCCAAGCTGGAGTCAGGCTCATGGTGATCCACCTGCTTCAGCCTACTGAGTTCTGCAATTACAGACATGTCCTACCATGCCTGGCTTATTTAATTTTTTATGTGAACCAGACCCTTGCTGCATATCTAACTGGCGTATGCTGGGCTTGAACATTGTTATGCTCATGGTTTGCAAGCAAAACTATTTAGCTCAGAACACGTAATTTGTAGGATTATTTTATGAGTCATCAAAAGAGTGAAATACAAAAGAGTGCAGGAAATCTGCCCCACACTAAGAGTTACAGAAGCCAGTTGAGTACTAGACCCCAGGGAAATAACCTGCATGAGCCCAGCTGAAGTGCTAGAGCCCATGAAGATATCCTCCAAGGGTCCAGCTTGAGATCTAGTGTCCATGTAATTTATCGTGCAAGTCTGCAGCAAGGATCTGCACTGGAAAAGCCCAAAGGTCAGTTGTGGAAACCAGAAAGTCTGTGTCAGCTCGATAAAGGATCTGTGCCAGCAGGCTGAGGGATCTGCACTGCAGCCAGCAAGTGATGCTCAAGGTAAGAACCAGAGCTCCCTTCAAAGTACTGCAGCCATCTTCAGTGATAATAAGGCCCTGAGCTCCTTCAGTGATGACAACAGCGAATTTCATACAAGGAAAGCCACCACGACACAGTCCCCCAGGACAACCCACTGCACTACTAGGTCTCCTCTTTTTCCTGTTGGAAATGGTCCTCACATGGGCCCCCCACTCACGGCACAATGCTGATACTGTTCAGCTGGGTGTCACACGTTGCATAACAGTGGTCCATGCACCACAAGCATGAAGTCCTCTTGGCTCAGCCTCTCAGTTTAGGAACCTTCGCTGTCTGCAAGAGATTTATGTGGACTCTGTGAATTTGCTAGAAGGCCGCTTGGATCGGGTACTCAGGTACGATATGGAGCTCTATCTGCACTCACAAGAGCCTTTCTCTGTTTGTCTTAGAAAGATTAGTGAGCATGGACAGTGTGCACCCAAGAGATGTAACAAGATCAATCACTAGAGGATCAACACACTGGCTTTTTCACTCCTAAGGCCTACAACACGGTGTTCCTTAGGCACTCTACTGGTACAGCCACACGGGACAGGGCCACCATGCTTGGTTGCAAGAGGAGGGGTCAAACAGAGGGAGGGCAGGTGTGTGACTTGTTCCTCAGCAATCTCTCCTAGGGGAAGGTGCTGAGAAACAGCAAGCCCTCTCTGATCCCCCAG